GAGTTAAGTGAGTTATTGGCCCGGGGCCATATTGGAATTAACGGCGAATGCGCCTTTGTTGTTGCGGATCTTTCTCTCTAAACTTCCTTCTTTTGTGTTGTGTCATCTCCTATCTAGACTCTCTCCCCCCTCACCTTCCCCTTCTCCTCTATCTTTGAATAATGATATCTCTCGATGCTTCTCTCCCTCTCTCTCTTTCCCTCTTCTAGAGGAACATGAATCTGTATGCTTTCCTTGCGTGAAAGAACTTCTTCCGGAACTCTTCCATTAGTTTCCTGGGTAATCCTCCTGCGCAAGGACCCCGTCCTCTTGTCTTGTGAACGGTGGATGCGTGTGTATTGTGCAAGCGATCCACCTTTTCTTGTGCATGGCTCATTTTTCGCATCTTCCATAGTGAATGAATGTATGGAAATGAGCGTCTCTTTGGCGTTGATTAGACGATTGTCGTCGGGATTTTGTTCGAGAATCAAGAGTGTTCAGATTTGTGGCTCTAAGTGCACTACGCATGCCATCTGCCTTATGTTGTCCGACATCAGAAGCGGAACCACGAGGCAGCCTCGAGAAACAAGGCGTCGGGGATCAACATCGCGCTGGCTAACTAAACCTGAGCCACGATCGGTCCCTTAGTTATATGCGTGATTAAATTGTTGAAGTGTCTTTTTTCGCTCTCTCTCTCGCTCTCTCTTTCTCTCCCTCTCATGTTGAAGAAGATTGCTTATGAGTTGCAAGAGTGTTTTCTTTTCTTTTTGATGACGTCGCAAGGTCTCTACAATTGATGGATATGTGGACTGACCAGTACCCTCCGATCAGGCACCAGCCTTCCGTACCTCCCGTCCCAACACGGCCTTTTCCCTATAACGAGGGAAGGACACGTGTAAGTGAGTGGGAAATACGGGAAGCCGTTGCACAAATCGGCAGACGATACTACTTCCCTCCGGCAAATCGTTGTTCAGGGTTAGTAGAGGCTGGGTTTGTCATTATCGATACGCACTTCCCACCTTACTCGATATTGTTACCATTCAACGAGTTGATCGTCATCCTGTGGATGGCAGTAGAACCCCATTGGCCGCGCACTCTATGCACCGAATGCCAGCGTTTTGAGCGCTATGAATCCAGGGGTTTCCACTACCGTGTGCGGAATGAAGACAAGCATAAAGAAAGAGCCACGCGGATGAGGCCATCCACGCCGGACTCGGAACTGACCATCGAACGACGACGAGATTTGATACGAAAACGAGACAAGCGGAGCGTGCCAAAGCCTTTCCGTTCTAAACGACGGACTGTAGCCCGGTGGGAAGCCCGACAATACTTTTTGGATTGAATTTGGATTTTTCTCTTTTTGCGCCGTGCCCGCGCGCGCATTCTGTGACGCGCGAAAACAATCGACTTGCTTCATTGGACCAACACGAGGGATTTCAGTTTCATCTGTGTCCCCACACTCAATTTCCAAAAATCCTTGGCACACCCCATCTTGCTGTTTTTCTGGGCCTTTTGTCGCACGCCTAACACTCCGAACGAAAGACAACACAGGGCGTGAGGTTGCGCGTCACATACAAGACTACAAGGGCCAGGGCCCATCAGCAGCATAGAGTTTCCTCAATGCCCGTATCTGGACTTGTTTGCGGAGCCAACACGTCCAGATTCGGGCGTTGAGAAAACTGTTGGTGGGGCCCTATGGAGCCCACGTAGAGAGGGTGCAGGCTAATTTGAAACCGTGCCCGAATTTGTCCCGTGCGGACTTACACACATACGCACACACAGTGTAGCAGCGTGACGCTGGTCATGTTGCCTGTACCCCACGGGAAAGATGGCTTGTATGCATTCATCACCAGGGTACACACACACACACACACACACACACACACACACACACACACAGTAGCAGTGTGACCCTCGTCATGTTGCCTGCACCCCACAGGAAAGATGGCTTGTATGCATTCATTACCAGGGTGCGTTATGTTGGGGGGAAGACCGTAGCTACACACACACACACACACACACACACACACACACAGAGTACAGTGTCCATGGCTACTGTAGTCCCCCGAACATAACGTACCCTGGTAATGAATGTATACAAGCCATCTGTATGGTTGGGTACAGGCAACATGAGGGTTCCCAACATGACTGTGTACGGATGCGAATTTGTCCCAGGCGTAAGCACGGGGGAGGGATGGAGAGAGAGAGAGAGAGAGAGAGGGAGAGAGCTCAGAGAGAGAGAGAGAGAGAGAGAGAGAGAGAGAGAAAGAGAGAGAGAGAGAGAGAGAGAGAGAGAAGCAGGGTGACCCTCATTTTGCCTGTACCGGACCCGAAAAGTAGGTTTTATACATTCATTATTCGGGTGCGTTATGCCGGGGATATAGGTTTTATACATTTATTATTCAGGTGCTTTATGTGGGGGGTATGACGGCATCATGACGGTAGACCTGATAACGAATGTATACAACGTATCTTTCTGGTCAGGTACAGGCAAAATGAGGGTCATGAACATAGCAACCGTGTGTTATGTTGGAGGAGGACTGTAGCTCTCTCTCTCTCTCTCTCTCTCTCTCTCTCTCTCTCTCTCTCTCTCTCTCTCTCTCTCTCTCTC